AATATGATTGCAAGTATTAATTTCATCAAAGAATAACCATATTTGACCATTATTTGCATGTTTGGTACTTGTTTTCATGAAATATAAATTTGGTCCTCGCGTATGCCAGCATGAAGTGAAAGTACTCTAAATTTGACTTCTACGATTGCCGCTAGGAAACTAATTAAACTTGTCTTTTTCAGAAAAAAATATTAAAATGGTTAAGTTTACACTTCCTCATTCTTTATCAGTAACCTTTAAATTTAAAATTTCACATACCTTTCCATAATCAGCTTCACCACATATAACCACTGGAATATTTGCTCGAGCTTTCAATAAGATCAAGGCCATTTTAAGAAGATTATTTGCTGACAATGCATAACTAGGCAATTTTTTTCACCCATAGATTTTCGAGCTATACCTTCTAATTTTTCTAATAAAGAACTTTCTGACAATGTATTATAGTCATCTAATTCCCAAATATTTCATTCACCAGGCTGGGAAAAATCAATTTGATAGTTGCTTAAATTTTGACTCATTAACATTTGTTTCACGTTATGAGGGACATTTTTGCAATCACGGGAGTTTGTGATAAAAGAATACCAAGAGATGATTAGATGCGTCCCATTGAACAATGGTTTCAAGTTGATCATTATCTTCGTTCTCTGGTAATTGTGTTGATTCTAATTGAGCTGCCTTTGTAGCGACCGAGCGTGTTTCAATGTCCTTAGATACATCAAATAAGGCTTTCAGCAATGTTATACGAATGTTGACATTGAAAAATGAACTCAATGATAAGCGAACCAATTGATCCGTAAATAGATTTAAAAGATTTCTACAACATTATTGCCTTCAAAAAAGTATTTTCGCACTAATTCATGACACCGTGCTGGACTCATAGGTCTCTTAATAGTTCTTCTCCGGTGAATGTTTACTGTCGTAAGCATCTAAATAGTGAGACGCTATTTGAATCGGACTAGTTAAGAAATAAATACAATTTCAGGTTAAACGAATTCTATTGTCATCTACGAAGCTAGAATTATATGATACTTGCCTAAAAGTCAGGACTGAATTTCTAACCTAAGGAGCTATGCTTTCCACAAGAATCACAATTGCGATTTAGCCTTTAAGGCTAAATACGCACAAGCTTTTAGCACCGGTGGGGACTCTGACTGCAGCGGGAGCGTCTCCAAAATATATAGGACTTCCGGCTCTTCACAGGATCTTCGTACAAACCAGAAGTTGTTGTACGTCGAGAGTATGGAGTACATAGTGTCATTCCTCCACATGTACCCATATAACTGCCGGACGACAGTTTTTGCTTTCTCGTTTCGTTGATAGTATTCCGCAAAGCTTTCTTCGCCAAGATCTTCGAGAATGTGACTTCTCTTGATCTCAGCTACTACCAACAATTCTCCACCGCTGTAGCACGTAAAGTCAGGGTCCCCAACGTAAGGCGACCGATCCGAAAAATCGAACTCTTCACCCAGCACAGAGTTTAGCACCGAATTGATGTTAACATCAATTGCGGTGCACACGGACCTCTCCTTGCTAAACGGGTGGTTGTAAGCAAACTTCGGAGCTTGCATGTTTTTCTGCAAATCGAAGGTGTGCCCATTCACCTCCTCAAAAAACCCTTTCCAAAGTCTTACTTCCTTTGGTGGCTTTCCATCTGCCGAAGTTGTGGATTTAGATGCTGGTGCATCTGGAGAAAACTCAATGTGAGGTGGAATGAGTGACAATGCTTCTTCCGCACTCACAACTAAAACAAAAAAGTATTGAGTAAAAAATACATAGGTGCAAAATTAGAGGTTGGAACCGGTTTTAAATATTCGAGTTTATAACATCAAAATTCGAGTTTATCACACCAAAATTCGAGTTTATCACATCAATTATTATTAATAATAATTCATGTGATAAACTCGAATTTTGGTGGGATAAACTCGAATTTTGATGTTATAAACTCGAATATTTAAAACCGGTTCCAACCTCTATGCAAAACATAAATGAAAGTTCATTTTTAGTGTCTTTGCTCACGTTCAAGATCGGTTACCCTTCTTTTTCTTGTGGAAAGGTCAAGAGTGTCGTCACTTCTGCCGCGCTTTTCTCCCCTAACGTATTTGGATGACGTGGCCCCCGATTCATCATCCTCTTCTGAGTTATCGTCTGTGACAACAGACTCTTCGTTATCGACGTCGGTCGCTTCAACGTCCTTCATTAAAGATAATTGTTGTTAAAATTAGAATAACGAATTTAAAAGACAATTTTTTTTAAAACTCAAAAAAAAAAAAAAAGAAAGAAAAAGAAAATTCCTAACGTTAAAAAAAACACAATTATTTGCATTGTCTAATAATAAGATCACGCAAAATTAATTTCGATTTGCAAAACCCGTCGACTCATTTTTTCAATTTTTCAAAAAAAAAATTGGGTTTTTCAAGTCCCAATTGTACCAATTATTCGATTTTTGCTATTTATTTTTCACATAATTTTCTGGTGTTACTCAACATAACTTAAATTATCTGATAGAACTGGCAGGATAAAAAAATTCTCCCATTGAACTAATTTTTGAGATTCCATGTTGTGCAAAACGAAAAATCAACTTTGCGTGGCCTAATTAAAACTCATGAATTAGATGTGAACATGAGTTTAGTAATTTAGATAAAAAATGAAATAAAAAAATAAAATAATAAAATAAATTAAAATAAAAAATTAAAATAAAATTAAAAAAAAATATCCGACCGACCGACCGGGATTTTGGAAACCAAAATTTAATTTTGTGTGACCTAATACTTGCCTCTTTGCCTTCTAAAAGATTTTTTGCGACACTCTTGAGCTCCTTAGGTGCACGTCGATGGTTTTTCATGGCGTGCAGGGTTTCATAATAGTCTTTGATTATTCTTTGTCTTGTGGTACGTTCGAGTACCCAAGACGCACAGTCCTCGTCGGACCACTCTTCATGTGGTTTTGTTTCAAAATACTCAACAATCAGAGTACTTTTGAAACTTT